AATGCATTACTTAGACTTGTTGGCATCTACTGATTGTTTAAAATGAGGACGCTCTCAAATAGTCAGCCTGTCAAATACCAAATGCTATTGCATACAATTATCTGATGCAGGGTATTTGTGTGTGCCAGCCACCAAATACTGCCTTAGCACCAACTATCAAATATTAGCAATAAATATCATCAGCTAACAAATAGCAGCATCAAATGTGCGGTGATTAATATTTGTGCAGTCTCTGAATATTTGATATCAGAATTCACAACTTCTGGACCCTAAAGCCAGTTGTTCCCTCCTAGTGGTAAGAACAGAAGAACAAACAGAATCTTCTGGATCAGGCCTATGGCCCATCTAGCCCATCATCCTTTCTCCCACTATCTTCTTCTTTTTAATAAGATTCTACTGAAGCTTTTTTCCAGCTGATGCTTGCCTCAAGGAAAGAAGGACAAGTGGAAGATGCACCTTATTTAGGAATCAGACCGTGGCTGCCACACACACCACTGTGGTTGCTCTAGGCCAGGGGTCAGCAACCTTTTTCAGCCATGGGCCAGTCCACAGTCCCTCAGACCTTGTGGGGGGCCAAACTATTTTTTTTTGGGGGGGGTGAACAAATTCCTATGCCCCACAAATAACCCAGAGATGCATTTTAAATAAAAATCACACATTCCACTCATGTAAAAACACGCTGATTCCCAGACCATCCACGGGCTGGACTGAGAAGGCGATTGGGCTGCATCCGGCCCCCAAGCCTTAGGTTGCCTACCCCTGCTCTAGGACATAGTCTTATGCATTTTAATGCCTCTCTAGGAATTCAGTGTCCTGTTTCGCTAGGCTTTGCTTGAGTGCCCACTAATCCACCAGAAATAAGCACTACAATAAGAAACCTCTGGTGTGCAAATTAAATTCACCTCCCGGAAGTTCTTTAATAGGGTTTTTCCACAAAAGCTCCAAACACATGGGGGATTTTTAACAACAACAAAAAGGAACAACAGAAACGGAAATGAGAAAGTAGGAGTTTCTCATGGAGCAAGAAAGATGAAACAGGCTAATGGGGACTGTCCACACCTGAAAATCCAGAGAAATGTGTTCAAGAATGGTATGAAAAAAGTTTTAGAAGAGAAACAGATTTCTTTCTGGATTTTCTGAGCAGTGGGTAACTCTGAATTTACCAAGAAAAAAATTGTGGGACCACAGCTGTATATTATTATTATTGTTTATTCAAAAGATCTCAGGGCAGGGAAGGACACCCAGACACAGGAGATTTAATGGACCCACAAGGCACGGCTTCGTCCTTGTCATCAACCGTGTATGACTTAATAATGCAAGTTAAATTCTACTATAGTAGCTGACTTATCAGTTGATAATCTTGTGTCAAACTTGGTTTTTCTGCAGTTTATACAGGTCAGCAATTTTAAGCACCAGAAACTTACATTTGAGCTACACTTTTTTAAAGGTTGCTTTTGCTCCAATAGCTTTTTAGAAAACCCTCGTACAGAAATGTGGCAAGGAAAGCTAAATCTTCCAAACACTAGGGGGCGCTGCACCTTTAGGCATAGAAGCAAAAGTGGGTGTGGCACTTCCCCTCTTTTTCTCACTGTGAATGTGAAAGAAAGAAAGAAAGAAAGAAAGAAGCAAGCCACAGAGAAGAAAGTCAGGAAAACATGTCTTCCTGGGAAGCCACTCGCTCTCCCTTTGCTGTGCTTCTGGCATTTGTGTCCAGTGACGAGCTATCTAAGGCGGGTTTCTCCTTTTCCATAATCGGTAGCACCAGCTCAGTTGCCTGGGAACATTCTTTGTAATTGAACAGTTCCCAGGAGAAAGTCTGAAAATAAAATAGAAGGGCTTTTTGGTTTTATTTACAACAGTGCCCAAAAAAACTCATGCACAAAACAAAACAAAAAAAACCTGAACCCCCCCCCCCCAACCTATTTAGGTTTGGTCTTTGGCTAGTGGCATCAAGGACTGTGCAGGCCATAAAGGCCAAGGGCAAAGGAATGTTCTGGGGCAGCTTCTGCAAAACAGGCACTTATGGAGAGATTTCACAATGGTTTTCCATGCTAAATCTAAATCAATAAATGCAAATAGGACAAAACCATTTGGACCCATGCCTAGAAAGCAGAGGACCAGTGGAAAACCACTCAAACCCATGCTTTCTAGGCACAGAACAAATGGAAGCGTGGATGAGCCCAATGTCAGCAGCCCACAACCCCATAGTGGCATGAAGTAAGCCATGCTTCTCACCTCAGCATTCAGTGGAATGTATGAAAGGGGACCCTAATCGTGGAAAGTGGTGCACCTGCAGGAGCTTCCAACATGATATGGAGTTCTACACAGTCATGATTTCATTTCATCTGCAGATCCCTGCATGCATGGAGTGGGCCCTTTCTGGCAGTTTATAGAATTATGCATAACATAAAGAAGTGGTCGGGGAAGAGTTTTCCTCCCTCTCTCATAAACAGTACAACTCATGGGGAGTCAATGAAGCAGAATGTTGGAAGGTTCAGGACAGATAAAAAAAAATACATAACAAGGCTTTTTTTAAGCCGGAAATCACCAGAAGGACGTTTTTGTTTTGGATTGCATGTTGATTCAGAAAGTGCAAATTAGGTAAGCCCACCTTTAAGTGTGAGCGGAACTGAATTTCTTCCCCATCCCTCATGTCAAGCAAGTGCCATCCCATGCTTCCCAGCACATTTCCCCAACACTTTCCTTATTGCAAAAAGGTTGCCAAACAGTGAAAATCTGGACAGGAAAGTTGTTGAGCTTTTTTGGGCCAAAGTTGATGAGTTTTTTGGCCAAATTTGCAGAAAATAAAATAAATTGAAATAAAAGTTTTTGAGGGAAATCGCCAAAAACAACACTGCCGACATAGGTTGCCATATGTCTGCATTTTCCCGGACATTTTTTCTAATTTCTGTATATGTCCAGGAAATTCCAGACATATAACAACCCTACAAAAAGTCCAAATTTAGGCCTCCTGATCAACTTTGAAATGCAGTGCTGAGCAAGAGAGGCCTTTGGTTTGATCCAGCTGAACTTTTATTTGTCCTTAGAGAAAAAGCAAAATATATTGTAGCCTGCCTTCATTAATACTGTTGGGTTGTCTCTCTATAACTTCAACGGCCATAGATTAGGTATACAAATATTATTTATTTGTGTAGTTATAAAAAACCAAGATGCATAAGACAAAATAAAATACATTACAGTTAAAATAATTATTTAATAATTATTTAAACCAGGCAGAATTTAACTGATCATTCCCACAAACCTTTTCCCTTAAAACTGCCAATCTACAGGTGAAGCTGACCACTTTGTCAGTTGTGCATTCCCTAAAAATTAATCAAGTAATATATTATGATATACAGGGAAACAAACCATGAACTCCTTGGAGAAAAAAGATTGGATATAAATGCAGCAAATAAATAAGAATAAATAACATCATATCCCTCCGCTCAATTCACTCCCCAGCCTCAGTGCTTTGAGTGCAGATGTCTGCGGGGTGGGGATTGCAACTGTTTTGACAAATGACTTTAGTGTTGTTTGTATAGTTAGCCATTGAGAGGGGACTGCTGAGGCAGTTTGAAGAGGTGTGCTTGCTTCTTATAGGGAATGCAAAAGAAAGTTAACTGTCAGTGATGAAGGACTTGGCAACGACAGATTCATCCTCATCTATCCTGAAAACTGTGGCCAAACATGTTGCGTTTTGACCAAAACACAATATGGTTGGTAAGTTAGGACATACTCTAAAGGTACCCCTGCCCGTACGGGCCAGTTGTGTCCAACTCTAGGGTTGCGCGCTCATCTCGCTCAAGAGGCCGGGGGCCAGTGCCGTCCGAAGACACTTCCGGGTCACGTGGCCAGCGTGACGAAGCTGCTCCAGCGAGCCAGCACCAGCGCAGCACACGGAAACGCCGTTTACCTTCCCGCTATAAAGCGGTACCTATTTATCTACTTGCACTTAGGGGTGCTTTCGAACTGCTAGGTGGGCAGGAGCTGGGACCGAAAGACGGGAGCTCACCCCGCCGCAGGGATTCGAACCACCGACCATACGATCGGCAAGTCCTAGGCACTGAGGTTTTACCCACAGCGCCACCCGCGTCCCCCAGGGGCATACTCCCCCAGGACATACTCTGGAATATGCCAAAAGTCAGCTCACCTCTCAGGGGTGTGGTGGCATTGCTGGACAGAAGAGGCTTCACGGGGGTATAGTTAGAAGATAATTTTGTAAGGGGACATTTGTTATCTTAGGAGTCTTGACTATGATTACCTCCTGTGGAGTTTTATTTGTCATAACATGACCCTAGTGGTTTTGCTTGCTATTGCTCATGATATTGCCATAAAACATTAAGTGTGCAGCTCCACACCGTGGACAAAATGTGCAGCTGTCCATGAGCTTCTTGGTGTGAGCTTATTGAGCCTCTATTAACTCCAATGCATCACCACCACACTGGATGGCAATGGATCATGAAGTGAATTGTTCCAGCAAACTCCTTTGGTGTAGCTACACATATTTGGGATGTTCCAGCAAAACATAGTAAAATACCAGTGGATTCAAGAAGATGTTGTAAAGATTTGATATTTGCCTCAGTGAATTTCTACGCTCTGGCTCTTCTCTGCTTGACTAGGCTATTAAAGAGAACATAGGTTCTTTGGGGAAGATTTGTCAACTGGTTGGATCTCTTTTATCTGTGTTTTTGTAACTGTTCATTAAGGTAGATCCTGGGCTCTAAAAACTTGGATTTTCAGATCACTCAAAGTATGAGTCTTGTTGGGTCAATTATAGAGAGGAGAAACCAATTTTAAAAACACCGTTTTCTTGCCCACTTTCAGGCAGAGCCTCAGCTTATTACGGCAAGGAGCACTTCACTTCAGAGGGTTTTTTAAAAGAAGAAGAAGAAATAATAATAATAATAAAATTTTAGTTATATCACCACCCTCCCCAGCTGAAGCCTGGTTCAGAGTGGCTAACAACAGTGAAAATAATACACTGTTTATTTCACAACAGTGAAAATAATACACTGATTTATTAAATAAATCACAATCAGTTAATTGAAATACATTCTAAAATCAATTCAAGAAGAAGAAGAAGAAGAGAGTTCTCCCCTTATGTGACCAACACAATTGTTCACAGAGATTGGAGGCGGTGGACAAATTAAATTCTTCTCATTCTGAAGCCCAGTGGAAGCTCATCAGAACATGAACTATTGCTCTAAGAATAGATCAGTATACAGCATTTTCTAATTTTCAATCATGGCTCAGAAGGAGGCTTGAATCAAATTTAATATGTAGAAAGAAATGAGAGTGAGAGAGTAGGAGTGGGAGAGAGGAAGAGGGAGGGAGGGAGGGAGGGAGAGAGAGAGAGAGAGAGAGATTGTTCTCCCAGGCACCTGTCCAATACGCTAACCACTACACCACACTGTTGCTACTGGAAGTCATGCCAGATTCTAATCATAATCATAATCATCACCATCAGCTTTCTTTTCCACCCACCCTCTCAAAGGAGCCCTGGGAAGCTCTTCTGCAAGTACAGTTCAGACAAGTTTTGTGGCAGTGGAGGACTCAGACTATTTTCTATTCCATTTCGACCATCCCAGAATAGCCACTCTGCTTTCTCATCCAGTGACACCCGTTTGAGACAAGCAAGAAAGCAGGCAGGATTAGATGGAACTTTCCACAGAAAACCCACTTTCTCCATAGCTGCCTTTTTTGAAGCTCCATTTTGGCTGGCTGCCAGGCGCTGGTCCACATTCACTCATTCTCTGGTTGGAGGCCAAGAGTGCCGTCTGGAAGTTTGGGCGTCACCCTCAAGATGCCATTTGGCTGACAGATGTTCTGGCTGCCTCCCTCCTTGTTGTTATTTATTCCTTCCACTGGTTCCTTTCTTAGGATGTTGCACGGCAGGCAGGAGTCGAGGAAAAGAGACTCATCCTGTCATGGAACTTTCTGCTAAAAGGGTGCTTTTCTGCTGCAAACATTTGGCTTTCTCGGTTATGGTTTTGCAGACCATGAATATTATCTTGAAAACGAAGGGGAAATGTTATATAATCAATAGGGACAAATGTAGGTTTCTACACTTTGGCAGGAATAACCAGCTGCACCAATGTAAGATGGGGGACACCTGGCTTTCCAGAGTATATGTGAAAATGATCTAGGGGTCTTAGTAGACCAGACATGAGAACAGTGTAATGCAGCAGCAAAAAAGCTAATGCTATTCTAGGCTGCATCAACACAATGAAAGTTGTTGTTCTACACATATGGAAATCCGAACAACAGTAATTCCTCTCCCCCTCACCCATCCACACCTACCCACCCCTAATCTGCCCCCTCCAGCAGGAATCAACCTTCTTCAACCATCTCCTAACCTATATTGCAATGGGAAGAGGAAAACTCTTGTCACAGAGAAGTTTTCTCTGCTGACATTCTACTGTTTGGGTTTATTTTTAACAGCAGTTACATTATGCTCATATATTGTTGATAATTATTTTTACAAGCAGGCCAAGGGAGGAGTTTCTATGTGGTTTGGAAGGTTTAAATCACTTGGGCCAAGAAAAACAAGCTTTGGAAAGGATTTTGATTCTGCATTTGAGGAATGCCGCTTACTATAGCTTCTGATCCAGGAAATATCAACATTTCGGCCAAATTATGCCCTTACTTAGACTCAGTATGGCCGGTGCCACTGATTGGGATGGAGGCACCATTTTAGCTCATGTCCATTTTTGTTCAAGTGGTACTAAGTGGGTTACATACAGAAGGTCCCAGGTTCAATCCCCAGCATCTCCAGGTAGGGCAGAGAATCTGTCTGTTTTTTATTCCTATCCTGCCCTTCCTCCTGAAGGAGTGCAGGGCTGCAAACAGATACACAATTTAGCTAAAGACAAGTGCAGCTGAAAATATCTAAAAGCAATTACATTTGAAAAGGCTCTTAAAAAGTTTTTATCATTATTATTATTCTTCCACGCAAGGATCTTGTGGTTGCCGAGAAACAGCATTTCTCAGCCACCAAATTCCTCCTGAAAATTAACAACATACCCTCCAACCTTTCTCCGATGAAAATAGGGACCTCACATTCCCTAATGATAATTTTACTGCCACTCTGGGCAGCTTCCAACATATATAAAAACATAATAAAACCTTAAACATTTTTTTTAAAAAAACTACCCTATTCAGAATTGCCTTCAGACAGCTCGGGAGTTGAAAAACTCCATACCCTCCAACATTTCTCCAGTGAAAATAGGGACGTCCTAAGGAAAAGCGGGACATTTCAGGATCAAATCAGAAACTGGGACAGCTTCTCTAAATCAGGGATGTCTCTGGAAAATAGGGACACGTGGAGGGTCTGCAGTGGTGGGCACACATTACTAGAAAATGGCATTTCACACATGGAAAACCACCACTGGAAATATCCCCTGTCTGAAACCCCGAAGAGCTGCTGTCAGTCAGTGTGCAGACAATGCTGAGCTAGCGGGGCTAGTATTTTGACTTGGTTGGTATAAGGTAGCCCAGAGAGAGACAGACAGACACACACACACACACACAGAGAGAGAGATAGACTGAGATGCTCATCTGCCATCATCAGCTGACCAGGAGGCCCGTCTGCACTCGAGGGGCCCTGAGAACACGTCCCTCCTATCTTCCCAGCCCTATTTCCTTTCTCTTTAAAAATATTTTTGCTATGTACTTAGTTGGATAGGATCCAAACTGCAGCAGTCTGATTGGTCCTAGAACAATAGGATCCAAAATGCAGCAGTCTGATTGGTCCTAGAACAATAGGATTCAGAATGCAGCAGTCTGATTGGTCCTAGAACAATGCAGCAGTATGACTGGTTGGCAGGAACCACCCAATCATGCTCCAGATATAAGTGAATCCACAACCTGATTGGCTTACAGTAGAATTCCAGAATTAGCCAATCATGTGCAGTCCATTGTGTAAATAATGTATATAAAGCAGATACTTTGAGGGGACATTCATTCATTCCTCCTCACCACGATGAGCTGAATAAAGAGCATGAAATCACTTTGCGACTCTGAGTATATTTCACTGGCGATGGAGGTGGGATCCCGCTGAGCTGACTGCCACACACAGCACCACAGCACTGCCACCTGCCGCACCGCTGCCTCGCACCGTGTATCCAGGCTTCAGCTCCGGGACACAAGGAACTCAGAATGGCAACCAACAGCAGCTTCTCGCCGTTCAACCCAGCATCTGGAGACTGGGAAGCGTACGCCTCCCGTTTCACCTTCCTCCTAGAAGGCAAAGGGGTCACCGATGAAGAAGACGCCAAGAAGAGGGCGATATTCTTCAGCGTCTGCGGAGAGGAGACGTTTGAAATCGCCCGGGCTCTCCTTGCGCCTGAAGACGTCGCTACTGTTCCATACAAAACAATAATGGAACAGCTGAAGGGGCACTTTTCGCCGCAGCCCTCAGTGGTGGCTCGTCGAAATGCCTTCTACGCAAAGCGGCAAGCCCCTGGGGAAACCATAACTGGGTTTGTGACCTCTCTCTGCCAAGCCACCCGGTTCTGCAACTTCTCAGAGCTGGAGAACATGCTTCGTGACCGCCTCGTCAGTGGCCTGAAGGATGAGAAGCTGCAACAACGCCTCTACGCTAAGAAGGACCTAACGTTCCAGGTCACTCTGGAGGAGGCCCTGGCAACGGAAGCTGCCGAGAGGTCGACACAAGAGGCACGGCCGAGCCTGCCATCCCAATCGAGGGTCCACCACGAAGACCTCACCGACGACTCAGGATCTGACAGGGAGGAGGTGCACTGAGTACAGCAGCACACTCAAGCAGCCCACATACCACAGCTGCCTCGACGAGAAGGAGGGAACTGCGCAAGCTGCGGGGAAAGTCACGAGAGGAGAACCTGCCGTTTCCGCAACGCAGAGTGCAGGCAGTGCAGAAAATCAGGACACATCGCCCGGGTGTGTCGAGCTCGGCCCACCCGACGCCAGGCATCAGATGACCAATCCAAGAGCCCCAGGTCCCAGGGCCCAACGCACCAAGGCAACTCGACGGAGCTCACGGACTTCCAGGTATACCAGTTGCGATACTCTCCCCGATGCTTTTTAACATCTTTATGCGCCCCCTCGCCCAGCTTGTCCGGAGTTTTGGGCTGGGTTGCCATCAGTATGCTGATGACACCCAACTCTATCTGTTGATGGATGGCCATCCTGACTCGGCCCCAGACACACTGACCAGATGTTTGGAAGCTGTGGCTGGATGGTTACGCGAAGCCGGTTGAAGTTAAATCCTTCGAAGACAGAGGTCCTCTGGCTGGGACGGGACGATATGGGATTGGGGGCAACTCCCATCTCTTGCGGGGTGCAATTAGTGCCAGCACCGTCCGTTAAGAGTTTGGGTGTAATCTTCGATACCTCCCTCTCTATGGAGGCGCAGATTACAGCTATAACAAAGGCGGCATTTTTCATCTCCGCCAAGCTAAGCAGTTGGCCCCTTATCTCTCTCGCCCTGACCTAGCCACTGTGATCCACGCGACGGTCACCTCCAGACTGGATTATTGTAACTCGCTCTACGTGGGGCTGCCCTTGAGACTGACCCAGAAACTCCAGCGGGTGCAGAATGCCGCGGCGAGACTCCTTATGGGGTCTTCGCTGCGAGATCACATTCATCCGGTACTATACCAGCTGCACTGGCTCCCGGTGGAGTACAGGATCAGGTTTAAGGTGCTGGTTTTAACCTTTAAAGCCCTATACGGCCTAGGACCCTCGTACCTACGGGACCGCCTCTCCTGGTATGCCCCACAGAGGAACCTACGGTCTGCAAATAAAAACATCCTGAAGGTCCCAGGCCTCAGAGAGGTTAGGCTGGCCTCAACTAGAGCCAGGGCTTTCTCGGCTGCGGCTCCAATCTGGTGGAACGCTCTGTCACAAGAGACTAGGGCCCTGCGGGACCTGACATCTTTCCGCAGGGCCTGCAAGACAGAGTTGTTCCACCAGGCCTTTGGTCAGGGCCCAGCCTGACTCCACCTCCGGCAACCTGCACAGAACTTTGCTCAACGGCTGCCATTAATTTGATTTTAATTAATTTTTATAATGAAATGTTTTAGAATGTTGGATTATTTAATTGTTTGATTATTTATTTGTTGTTAGCCGCCCTGAGCCTGGCTTTGGCTGGGGAGGGCGGGATATAAATAAAATTTATTATTATTATTATTATTGCCCCACCCCAACGTAGAGAAAATTTATGTAGAGGTACAGATAGAGGGGGCTCCATGCCGCATGGAGCTTGACACGGGTTCAACTCTATCCATAATCTCGGAAAGGACCTTAAGGAAACTGTGTCCTACTGGGGGTCCCAAACTCAGGCCGGCCCCATTCACCCTCCGGGACTTCCAGAAACGTAAGGTCCCCACAATGGGGGTGGGGACCTTCAGGGTGCAATACCGAGGGCAGACGCAGCAACGGGACTTGCTTGTGGTCAAGGGCCCCTACATTAGCTTACTGGGATTGGCATGGTTTGGACCACTGGGGCTAGCCATCACTGGGGTGAACCACACTAGCTTACAAGAGGACGTGGATGCCATATGCAAGGAATTTCCAGGGGTTTTCAATGGGAAATTGGGACAGTATACAGGCCCCCCCATTGCTCTACAGCTTGACCCCGCAGTACAACCAGTCAGGCTCAAGGCCCGCCAGGTCCCGTTCGCCCTGAAACCCCGTATAGACGAGGAATTGGACCGGCTCATGGAGCAAGGAGTGCTGGAGCCGGTGCCTAATGCCCCCTGGGAAACCCCAATCGTCACACCCGTCAAGCCTAATGGTTCGGTCCGCATCTGCACAGACTACAAATGTACCATAAACAAGGCCCTCACGGCCCATGCATACCCAGTGCCAGTGGTCAGTCATGTCCTTGCCACCCTGGCTGGGTCGAAAAATTTTGGCAAGCTGGACTTGGCCCAAGCATATCAACAGCTGCCAGTAGATGAGGCCACAGAAGAGGCACAGATGATTGTGACGCACAGAGGAGCGTTCAGGGTAAAGCGGCTGCAATTCGGTGTCAGTGTGGCACCAGGCATATTCCAGAATCTAATGGACTCTCTCCTTAAAGGGATTCCTGGCGTCACCCCCTTCTTCGATGGTGTGTTGATTGCCGGGCCCACACCAGAGGAGTTTGAGGACTGCCTCCGCACCGTTCTGCACCGTTTCCAGACGGCGGGTCTGGTGAAGCGGGAAAAATGTCTACTAGGAGTGCCTCAGGTGGATTTTCTGGGATTTATGGTGGACGCAGAAGGGGTCTACCCGACTGGGGACAAGGTACGGGCCATTTGTGATGCCCCAGCGCCCAAGAGCAAGACTGAACTTCAGGCCTTCTTGGGACTATTGAACTTTACCATTCCTTCCTTCCCCACAAGGCGGCGGTAGCGGAGCCCCTACACAGACTCCTGGACAAGCGGGCCCCTTGGGTGTGGGGCCAGTGCCAGGAGGCCACATTCCAGGCAGTCAAGGACTTGCTTGTCTCAAACTCGGTCTTGGCACACTTCGACGAGAGGCTGCCGGTGGTGCTAGCATGCGACGCCTCGCCCTATGGCATTGGCGCTGTCCTGGGACACCAACTCCCGGATGGAAGAGAGGTACCGGTGGCATACTTTTCCCAGACACTCAACGCAACCGAGCGGAACTACTCGCAAATAGACAAGGAGGGTCTGGCAATCGTGAAGGGAGTAAAAAAATTCCATGATTTCTTGTACGGGCGGCCCTTCACCGTGGTGACTGACCACAAGCCATTGCTTGGCTTGTTTGCCCCCGAAAAGCAGACCCCCCAAGTGCTGTCTCCTCGCGTCCTCAGGTGGTCAATTTTCCTTGCCAGCTACCAGTATGCACTGATTCACCGCCCCGGGAAGGCGATGGGCCATGCGGACGCCCTCAGCAGGCTACCACTACCGGAAACAGGCCCTGACCCAGCACCTGCACAAGAGGTTATGAGCCTGGAGCTGCTTCCCGACCGCCTCATTCAGGCACAAGAAGTTGCACACCATTCCAAGAAAGATACGGTCATCTCCCGGGTCCTGGACTGGGTGTGGAGGGGATGGCCCAGCAGCAGCCCCGGGCCAGAATTCGCCAGCTACACAACCCGCAAACATGAACTGTCAGCCCACAAGGGGTGCCTGTTATGGGGAAGCAGGGTCGTTGTTCCCCAGCCCCTCCGCAAAAGGGTCCTCACAGCCCTACACGAGACACACCCAGGGGTAGTGAGAATGAAGGCCCTTGCCAGGAGTTATGTATGGTGGCCGGGGATCGACGGAGAGATAGAGGCCTGGGTCAAACACTGCCAGGCCTGCCAAGAATCCCGCCCAGATCCCCCAAGGGTCCCAGTCCAGTCCTGGGAGTCCGCCCAAGCACCATGGTCACGCCTGCATGTGGACTTCGCTGGCCCCTTTCAGGGGAAAACATTCTTCATAGTGGTGGACTCCTACACCAAATGGCTGGAAGTCGCAGTGGTACCGTCCACTTCTACATCTGCAGCCATCCAGGTACTACGCAGGCTGTTTGCAACCCACGGGCTCCCTGACACTCTCGTCTCAGACAACGGGACTGCATTTATGTCAGGAGAATTCCAAACCTTCACAGCGCAGAACGCCATCCGCCACATCCGTTCGGCGCCATTCCACCCTGCCACCAATGGCCAAGCAGAACGCATGGTGCAGACCACCAAGGACACCCTTCGCCGCATGACGCAAGGGGATTGGGAGTACCGCCTTGCCACATTCCTCCTAGCACAGCACAGCACCCCCAGCTCAACGACTGGCCGGAGCCCCGCTGAACTACTAATGGGTCAGCGCCTTGCAATCAGATTGGACCGCCTTCACCCCGATAGAGCTCAGGATGAGGTAGTGGTGGGGAAAGGCAGGAGCCCCCGAACCTTCGAGGCCCAGGACCCAGTGTACGCAAAGAATTTTGGGGCAGGCCCAGCATGGGTACCCGCCACAGTCACCAGGGTCACTAGCCCCATGCCGTACGAGGTGCTAACGGATGGGGGGGCAATGCTGGCACCGCCACTGCGACCAGATACGGCGACGATTCCCGGGAGAAAACCAGGAGGAGGACAGGTCAGAGGAGTCCCAAGGGAACAGGGGGGCAGTGAGGCCCATAGAGTAGGAGGGGCCAGCAGGAGAGGCAGAATCAGTAAATACAGAGAGGATTCGCAAGGCCAAAAGGACACCGGAACCAGAACCACGACTGAGCGAGCCAGTTGCGCCAGACCAAACAGCCCCATCACAGCCAGCATCCTTGGAACACGAGCCAGAACCTGAACCCCGGACCAGGAAACACCCCAGGCCGCAACGCACACGTAGGCCGCCGACGTACCTCGAGGACTATGAATGCGACCTCCCAGGCAGGACTGGAACTTAGAGGGGAGGGGTGTTATGTACTGAGTTGAATAGGATCCAAACTGCAGCAGTCTGATTGGTCCTAGAACAATAGGATCCAAAATGCAGCAGTCTGATTGGTCCTAGAACAATAGGATTCAGAATGCAGCAGTCTGATTGGTCCTAGAACAATGCAGCAGTATGATTGGTTGGCAGGAACCACCCAATCATGCTCCAGATATAAGTGAATCCACAACCTGATTGGCTTACAGTAGAATTCCAGAATTAGCCAATCATGTGCAGCCCATTGTGTAAATAATGTATATAAAGCAGATACTTTGAGGGGACATTCATTCATTCCTCCTCACCACGATGAGCTGAATAAAGAGGATGAAATCACTTTGCGACTCTGAGTATATTTCAATTTTATTTATACTTATCCAAAGATATCCAAAAGTCATTACCCAATACAAAGTATCTCTTTATAATACACCAGAAGAAAGAAATACTTAAAATATCTAATATAAAAAAGAACAGGCGCAAAAAAGAAGGAAAAAGAAGGAGGAGAAAGAAAAAAAAGAGAATGGAAAAGGTTCTCTGTCCTTTAGCTAAACATAGTATCCACTCATCAGGGGGGCCAACTTGAATAAAATGGGGGGGGGTAAGCCCCAGCCCACATAATTGATCGCATGAAGTGGTGCACACACACAATTTGAATGGGAATGCCCATCAAATTGGGGGGGGGGGGGCCGGCAAATATTTTATTGGGGGGGCAAAGCCCCCACAACCCCAGGAGATTGTTCCTATGCCACTAATTAACAACCATCTATTTTCTATAAGCCAATATTTTTTCAATCTTCAAATCTAGATATTTCAAGTTCATTTTCTCTGTCATACAAAAAGTCCATAAGAAGTTTCCAATCTTTAATAAATGTCAATAATGATTTTTCTCTAATTAAAGGCATTAACTTTGCCATCTCAGCCAAGTCCAATGATTTTATCAGTGATTCCTCCATAGCAGACAGGGCTGTATTTTTCCATCCTACATGGAAAAGATGCATTCAATCTTGCCACTGAAATAATATATTGGCACAATCTTCCATAGTTTTGTTTTCCGGTTATATATCCATTAACCCTTAAAAACAAACAAAGTTCTGTCTTCAATTGCATATTAGCCTTTAGAATCTGCTGTATCAACATATGTATTTGTAATCAATATTTTAAAGCCTTTTTTCATGTCCACCAAGCATGATAAAATGTCCCTTCATGTTCTTGGCACTTCCAGTAACCATTTGAAACACCTTTAAAGCATTGTTTAGACACACACAAATACACCAATTCACCCAGTGGTCAGATTCTTAGGCCTTTGGGACATATTCTCCCAATTGTTTTCCTGGCTGGGGGAGGAGGGGGGGATTCCAACATAGGCATAGCAAGCAGGATGTTGAATTCCAGAGACTCAGGAAACCCAGCCCGATGATTCCTGGGAGTGAAGAAAGCGGGTTTGTCACCATGCTGCATACCTTTAAAGTAAGGACATTTCCTGAGCCCTTCTCCCCATGATATTGTGTACACTATCACTGTTTCCGTCATGCGGCACATAAAGGAAAAGGCCTAGGAAAGAGGGAAGGAAAGAGGGTTGTGGAATCCCTGTCACTACTGCTGCTGCTGCTCTCTTAAGGCCACATGTGCACACTTTGACCTACATCAGAGAACGAGAGCTTCTGCCTCCCCAGTGCTGAATTTGGGTTTTTTTCTCCAAGTGTGAGCAAAGCCGCTCTTGCTGTCCCTGGCTCAGCACATGGATTTGTCACATACTTTGAAGTCGCTGCATGCTCTGAGATCGTGACTCAGGAACGAGAATTTACAGGGGTTTTCAAATGCCACCCCCTCTGAGTCAAAGGACATGGGAGGTTCTTGCCAAAGCTCTGTTTGGACCAAAGCTGGGGAAAGATGTGCAACTTTCTTCTTCAGAGTGATTTTGTTTAACAACACTATAGATAGTTTACTTACTAATTCTTTCATTCATTGCATTTCTATGCCAGCTTTTCTACCAAGTTGCTCAAGGTGGCATTCTTCCCCTCCTCAATTAATTCCTACAACGCCCATGTAAGGTAGGAGGAGACCGAGAAGCATTGAGTGGACCAGGGTCAGTCAATGAGCTTCATGGCTAAGTGTGGATTTGCATCCTGGTCTCTCCCAGGTTAGTCTGAGACTTTAATTGCTACAGCACAATTGGCTCTCTTCCCCCTAGTATACATTTAAACCAGGCTCCACTGACCTGGTGCCCTCCAGTTGTTTTGCGCTACAAGTCCGTACCTGCCAAGTGCCCCGGAGGGAAACGGGACGTCCCTTTTTTTTTTACAAGAGGTCACTGTGGCCATTTTGGGTGCTGTGATCTCACGTACCATGATCTTACCCTGAAAAATGCTTCCCCCCCCCCCCCGGACAATATTGCAATGTGGATCACGTGACTTGCCTGGGAGCATGTTCTGGAAGACGCATGTCCCAGCTTTGATCTGAAAAAGTTGAACTGTATGCATGTCCCGTTAGCTCCAACCAGCACAGCTGTATGCTGATGGGAGTTGTGGTCTGGTTTAAACAATACATGGATTGCTTCCTCCTGACTGAGCCCACCTGCCCTTTCTTCAGGAGTGTATCTTAGCCCCTCCTCCTCCTCTGGGTGTGCAAGAAACTGTGGCTTCCACGACCTCAATATCATTTCTGCAAGCATCCTCTCCAATGCGTGCTTATTACAGAGTTGGTCTTTTAAAGATAAAAAGCTCAGTGCCTTCAGACATTACGATAAATGTACTTTATAGGACAAAACAAAACAGAAACCATGCGCTTTTGTCCCATTGACTATCATGCTGACAAGTGGAGGCTGATGCCATCATAACAACATTTCGCTTTCACTCCTCTAATTGAAACCAACTCTTCCTTTCTGCAGCGGGGAAAAAGCATGTGCTCAGAAGATGTTCTTTGGCATGTCAAATGTTAACCAGAAACACATGGGCAGAAAGAAAGAGGATGCTGCCCTTTAAAAAAAACCTATCTGACAGCTTGATGTAGGCAGAGGAAAGTCTGCTGCAGGCAGTGTAACTGTAATACTGTATATGGGTTGGGGTATGGGAAGTCTGATGCCTTGTCCTGCAAGAATGGGCTCATCTACACAGGTCCAAGAGGTTTTTCTTTTGTCCCACTGCTTTCCCTGGGAAAACCCACTGTTTACTCCAGAATCAGAACAAATGTCAATTAAATAACTACTCAGATCCATGCCTCCACATCACAGACCAGTGTCTATAATTGGCAGCACAACAAAAGTATGGATCAGACCTATGTCTAAAGCCAAATGTACTGTTGCTGTTTTTTAATTACACATATATACTAACTTCCTTCAAGAAGTTGAAGGCAGCATAGATGGTTCACCCTCTTGCCCTTTTTATCCTCATAGCAACCCTGAGGATTTGAACCTGGGGCAGTATTCACAATACCACCTACTGTGCACTCATTCGTTCTCCAGCGCTAGGATTTTAACCTGTGTTCACATAGCACTATCCAAATCCTATCCAGTACTTCGTTGTAAGATACTACTGTCTGACGCATTGTTTCTCAAAG